AGATGCTTCGATATTAAAGCTGACTGCTTTTTCGGTGCTCGACCTGCCCATAGGTTCGGTGCAAGCGGCGGACGCGAAGAATGCGGTGGAATTAGAGACAGAGACAGAGACAGAGACAGAGACAGAGATAGATGCAACGGTGAGGTCTGTGAGATAGATGGGGTTGGACTGGGTGGTTGACGCTGTATCTTACACGGCAGCCTTGTAACGGTTAACATGGGCTGGACTACCCCCTTAAGCTGTGGTAAAGCGCTGGTAGTATGCACGATTGCAAAGACAGCACCTCTTAGCATTGAGATTAACGCTGGTGTGAAGGAAGGGGACACATCTTACTGAGATGCAGCTGGTCGCTTTTAGCAGAGCTATTCACTCTTACTAACCAAACGATATACAGAGCCCAAATGCCTCGCTGACTTAATGTCTGCGCAACCGGTTCTGTGCTGGCATAATTGGACCCAACTAGTTCTGGGTTGTACAAAACATGGTAGCATGCCCACATGATGTCGCGGGTGATCGTATAAGCTTATACTGCGATGGTCGCAACGCTCACTAGACTTAGTCGTATGCTACCCTAATGAGCCAAACTATAATGCGCATAGATGACATGACTTGGTTCACAAGGGCTACATGGTGAAGCCTATCAGCACGGAGAAGGGTCCCAGCACAAACCACGAAGAGAAAGACAAAGCTCAGCACTAAAGGGACAAGACCAAGTGCTGAAACCAAAATATATTCCGCCTACTATGAGTACTTCATGATTGCTTCTCAGAGCTTATCGCATCTCTCCTCCACGCATGAATGTTCCTTCGACACTCTATTTGTTCAGCTCCTCAGCCCTCTTCTTGAGGTCCTCCTTGCTCTCCGCCTTGGGCATGTTGTCCGGGATGGCTGGGCCCTATAATTGTATTAGCTTCCATTCCGACCCATGTGTATAACGACGGCACGCGAATAGCATACCTTGGAGTTGTGAGCGGAAGCGAGTAGGTTTCCGCCCTCGGCGTGGTTGTCGTGCGAGGATGCGGTCGAGTCGGAGGACTCCTTTGCGATCTTGTCGGTGAGGCCTGTGGGGATGACGCGTTAGTTATGGCTTGAGCAGGCTGGATGGTGTGGTGAGTGGGAAGAGAAGATTGTCACGTACTGCCAGCGGCGCCTTGCTCAATTGGGTGGTCCGGCATGTTTGTTTAGGTTGATGTGGTAACTTGTTGCTTCTGTCGTCGAGGTTTCGGGCCGCCGATGTAGAGGAACCCTTTAACGTAGGCGTCTACTTTGTCTTCACGAGTCTGTTCTTTCACGTCGAGGTTCTTGACGTCCTGTTCGAGTGCGGCTGTGTCGTTGACTTTGTTGTCGGGCAGGTCGCGGAGGTTGGGAAGTTTCTTGTAAAGGGCTTGTACTTCTTCAGAATAGGCTTGCAGTTCGGCAATAGAGGGGGTTGAAGACATGGCTGGTTATGTAGGCCTGGGCGTTGTAGCAACCGGGTAGTGCGTGATCGGTGACGTAGATGAGTGTGGCAGGCCCGCGGCTGGAAGCTGGCTGGAAGGGGAAGCTGCCGCTGGGTGGTGGGGGAGGGGCAGCCCTTGGCACCTGGGAACTTTGGTTCTGTGGACGCGGCCAGCACCGTCCAAGACTACTGTGGAGAGGTCGGTGGATAAACAAGATATCTTGCATGCCTATCATGGATCCTGTGTCGGCGGCTTCTCCGTGGTAGATGCTGGAGGTGGTTGGGTCACGTGTCCGTCCAACAAGCCAGCGTGTATTTCTTTCAAGAAGGATGTTGCTGCACACGCAGAGATGGTAAGGGACGCGTAACTAGGTTGGACGTTAACGTGAGCTTCATGTTATACGATGCGCCGCCGGCGTACCTAACCACAAGCCAAATGAGACTGGAAGAGGTATGTTCTTTGAAGGCCTTGGAATTGAACTGCACTCCAACTGTATTGACGCTCAGTATGTCTTTGCACAACACCTACCGAATGATACTGAACCTACTGTAGAACATCTGCTTTGTCGCCTGGATGACAAAAGCGAGGAGACCACACAGAGCTATCTGTGGAGCGAACCGACCGGCGACGCGCCTGCCTTCCAATGTCGAACGCAGTGCGCCCGGCCGAGCAAGTTGGCACAAGTAGGCTAGGTGAAGGGTCACCTCGAAGCAGGTGATGCTGATCTTGGTCAACAAGACAGTGTCGCCTTGTATGCATGCTTGCGCTCCGTATAGGTTATCAAAAGCAGCCCATTGTTCCATGGGCTTGAAGAAAGGCGCATGCCATCTGCCACCAGGCAAGCTGTGAGGGCGCAGGCAGACGTAGAGTGTATCATACCACCCGCTCAACAAACTCACGAGACACCAGACAGCAATCCAGGATCGGGGTTCGTGAGTGAATGGCATCATTGATGTGCAATGGATGGAACGACATGACACCTAAGGAGACGACGTGCTCTACATATGTCGATATCGGATATCGGATGGAAGTGCACGCCCTCTGCCGTTCTTGCCGGATGGAACCTGTTGAACGCGTAGCACACTACAAGCTTTGGGGAAGACGATCGTGCCATGTAGCCGGGATGGGTTGTTGATGTTCGGCGCTCTCTTGTTGATGGCATGCCGTGAGGCGTCACCAGCATTGCGTACTCCCTCCCCGCTGTCAGCTCCACTCCGCGCCGTAGTATTGCCAACCATGGAAAAGCTACTGCGCGCGATCGAAAAGCGACGACACAATCTTGCACTCGGGTCTAAATACGATAGCGCCACGATAGGCTTTGCGGGGAAGAAGCGCAGTATTGATGCGAAACGCGGATTAGCGGCTAACTCAGCCACGGCGACCGCGTCGGCATGGGTGCTTGGCCATGTCCCGCCCCTTCCAAGCTTCACGGCCGTTTCGCCTTTGGCACCCAGCGTCATTCCAGGGGACGTCAAAGCAAGCGATGCACCACCACATGACCCGGACACTCACGCCTCGCCTTGTACTTCCTCCTTGATGCCGTGAAGTCCTGTAGCGACATGAGGCACGTCCTGTCCCGTCGATCGTTATATCCCCATCCATAGCCATATACCCCGGCCGGCCTCTGCACCGCGAACGACTCCCTTAAACCCGCTGGACGGAAGACTTGAACACTCGATATCGCCATGCCGTCGCTACTTGTCCACTCGCTGTTTGCGCGCCAGAATCCGCTGGATGAGGCCAAGAACACGCTCAGTTCATGGGACAACTGCATGGCCAAGGCCTACTGCAAGTGCGTTGAATCGCCAGGCCTCAGGCTGCTTCCCCTTTGCTCACAGACAACAGATGGCCGGTTATCGTCGTAATCATCATTGGCGCGCTCATCGTCATATCCGTGGTTACCTGCATAGCGCGATGCATATGCTGCGGCGCCGAGTGCGCGTGCTGCTGCTTCAGATGCTGCACGTGCTGCTGCAGCGGCAGTGGTGGAAGAGGCCACAAGCGCGTCAAGAGCGATCCCGCCGCCCCGTATCCCACGCCATATGGAGCGCCTCCTCCTCCCATGAACCCCTACAATCAGAACCCCTACGCCCAGGCGCATGCCGCTGCGCCGCCGCCTCCGCCCATCGACCCCCGCCCGGTGAACCAGCAATACCGCTCCAACGCCATGCCCACCTTCGCGCCAGCCGCGCAGCCCGAGAGACCGCAGTTCGCGACCTTCGATTCGACACGAGCCGTCGTCAACGAAGATTCGCTTCCCGCAATGCCCACGTGGAAAGACGGGCGCGACGTCCATGTCCAGGTCGAGGAACAACCCATGCCCCAGAAGCAAGGCGACATGGAGATGGACAGGCTAGACCGCAACGGCAGTCCAATAAGCGGATCAATGGGAGGTGTGGCAGCGGCGGCTGTTCCCACACAAAGACGATCGCCTGGCCCGGGCCGGTCCCCAGTGTCGCCAATGGACAACTACGGTCAGGGCTACCCTCAAGGCGGCTATCAAAACGATTCATTCGTCAGCGAAGGAGCCCTGTTGAACGGCCAGGGTGCATACGGCCGATCATACGCGCAGCAGGACGACTACCGCAGAGGCTCGCCAGGGCATACCCTATCGCCAGTCTACAGCGCAAACGAAGGATACGCACCACAGCAGCCGCAACAACAACAGCCCTATGGCCGCCGCTCGCCGGGCGCGCCCCAAGCCTACGACTCCCACGACCAGCTCAGCCAATACAACCAGCAACCCTCTTACAACCAACAATCCTCCTACAACCAACCACAAACCTACGACCAGCGCGACTACTACGACGAACCCGACCACCGCCATCAATCTCCCTCACCACCCGCCGCGAACCCCTACGCCTACAACAGCGACCCCTCCGCGTCATACGATACCTACACGCCCCCGCCAGCACCAGCAGCGTTGCAGCCCGGCTATGCAGCTTCCGAGTCAACAAATCATGGCTCTTTCACAAATGCGGCGCCAGCATACCCGGGGCAGAGATCGTATACGCCTGTGGCGGGGAGTGTGGGACAGCAGCAGCAGCCGTATCGCGCTTTTACGCCGGGCGCGGAACAGCAACAACAACAACAACCGCAGCAGCAGCAGCAGCAGTATACTGGGGTTAGTAGGAAGCCTGTTGATGGGTCTTTTAGGGAAATATAGAAATAAGATGTGTGTTTTCGTATTTAGGGAGAATGTGATACCCATATAAAGATTGTGCATCTTGTGCTTGGCGGTTTGTGAGCTGAATCTCTGCAAGCCGCTCGTGCTGTCTTGTCAACACCGAGGTTCTGAAGTGATAGTGAGAAAGAAGAGAGCATTCAATACTCGTGCCAAAGACTGCAGTTCATTGAAACATTGCGCGGTGTGTCATGAAAGACTATCATTCGTATCATCGTTATCATCACAACCATCTACCTGCCCCATCGATATCCAGACGCCTCTCCATCAACCACAGACCTGGTCTCGGCTATCACCCTCTCCCTTCCATCCTCATCATCCCCACGAACTCCATCATCCCCACACCACATCACACCCCCATCCCATCATCTCGTCATCTACAACTCCATAATCTCCTCCGGCGCCCCCATATAGCTCAACGGCCCCTTCTTAACCATCAACGTCATAACCTCATACAGCGTATCCTGTAGTCACGTACACGCAAACGGTCAGCGAAAGCCCCAAACAGACATGTACAGGATCGAGCCAAGGAGAGTAAGGAAATAGACACGCACAGCAGCAGCCATAGTGGTGAGTTCAGCATTGGTGTCGTAAGCAGGCGCCACCTCGACGATATCCGCGGCGATGAGGTTGATGCCTTCGAGGCCGCGGATGATGGTGCGCAGTTCGCGTGTGGTCCAGCCGCCGGTTTCGGGGGTGCCGGTTGCGGGTGCGACTGTTGTGATGTATTAGCCATGTCACCTATTAAGCTGTACCCCGACTCCCCCCGTGATTCTCAACATACAAGCAGGATCCAGCGTATCAATATCAATACTCAGATAGACAGGCTTCTCCAGCCCCACCCTCTCGCGGATCTTCTTGATAATGCCATCGGTGCCGATCTTGTCGACCTCGCGGGCCTCTACGATCTCAAAGCCGCAGTAGCCGTCGTTTTCGTAGTCAGAGGGGCCGGATAAGGTCGTGCGGATGCCGGCGTGGATGTTGGTGTCGTTTGCGAGGAGGCCTTCTTGGGCGGCGTGGAAGAAGTAGGTGCCGTGGTTTATGCTGGCTTGTTCCGAAGGGGCGCCGCCGAAGACTTTGGGGCGCCAGGTGTCGCTGCGTGAGGCGTTAGTGAATGGTTCATGGGGGGTTGATGGAGGAGTGAGCTTACAGATGGCTGTCAAAGTGAATGACGGTGATGGGACCGTATTCTCGGTTGATGGAACGGAGAAGAGGGAGTGTGATGGTGTGGTCTCCTCCGAGAGTGATCAGACGAGGGAGTGTCTTGCCAGTCTTTGAGGGACCGGGCTTGTTGGCGTGTGTGTGTGGTGGGCGGCTCAACAGAAGGTTGTGGCCTTCCTCGATCTGCTGCAGCGCATACGCGTTGTCGTACCTACGCGAGCAAACGAGTTAGCACATCCTAACACCAACTTCCCAAGCACGTATGGACGTGAGATAACTTACGAAGTAACAGGAATATCACCACAGTCCACAACCTTAGCCCACGAGTTGAACGGGTTCGCCGCGAGTGGAACGTTGTAGCCACCACTAAATCCAATTCTGCGTGAGCCTTTGGATCACGACACAATAAAAGTAAGCATGCGACTGCTTTCAAGAAAACATACTAGAGATTGAGGCGGCGGGAACCTTGTCTGATACCGCTGGGCCCGAAGCGAGCGCCGGGGCGGTACGATGTGCCAGTGTCAAAGGGCGCACCAATGAATGCAATGTCGAACTGCGTGTTGCTGGAGAGACATGGGTGGTATGGAAGGCGGCCGAATGTGGATATGCCGGAGAAGATGGAGTCGGCCTGCAGGAAAGTAAGTCAGTGTTGTAGAGTGTCGCCTTAGGTTGTTGATGCGTACTTGCTTGCCGCCATCACCAGGAAGTGTGTTATACCACAGTCCCTCGTGAGGACCATTCAAAGGATCTTGGTCATGACCATGATCGCCGTGCGCAGCAACCGTAGCCGCGAAGCTCAAAAGCGCGGGAGTGAACCTCATTTTGCTGGAGTCTCAGGATAACGATGGAGTGAAACCGAAAGGAAGAGAGGAGATGGATGAACACATCTGGGGACCGCGGAGAGCTCGCAGTAAATAGCTGAAGATATCGAGCACAACTCTATCAGTGACTGGTTTGACCAGCTCACGTTAGGTAAACTGCTGTTAGGTAAACAACACTTTTTTGGAGCTACCCCTGCTCCATGATGATGTCGTCTGCAGGCATAGCACCGCACTGCCTCCAATCGGTTAGTTGGGTCCTTGGAGAAGCTACAGGCCTCGATATTGGGTTGACGTATGTTGTGAACTCGGAGTTGTTTGCTTCGCGGATGGAGTTGAAGAAGTGCTGCAATGAGAATTGGACTGGACTATTCCGCAGTCCACTATGTCTACCTTTTGAATAACCATCTGAATACCGTGATGGTCGCACCAGCTCTTCACCTCATCCTCGTACTCTTGCGCAACTTCATTTCACCGAGAACGACATGCATCGGCCGTTGCTGATCGATGTGGATACCCACCCCGCCATGCACGCATGTACAATGACGGGCGCCACGGTGATAAAACCCGGGGAATCCGACCAGTAACCTTCTCTATAGACGATATGTAACGCGGATATTCAGCAGCCTCGATCTCTGGGTATCGCAGCCTTATCTGAAGCGAGTCAAGACGCGTAGCAAAGTTACGCACGCTAGCTCATGCATGCAAGTGAGCTTTCCGGTGAGGTTGTTACGTAGTCTAGAGCTTCACATCTCTACGTAACGGTCTTTCGTAGCTGTTATATGGTACGCGGATTGGTTCGATAAGAATTGTGTGATCCGGATGCATCCTTTGAGCGCGATCTCCGTGGCAGGTTAGGCGGTCGATTGCTGGGCCGAGGTGCAGCGCATGCACGGTTGCATACATCGTTCACTCACGCGTTTCCAGTACGGGGTTCCATGCCATTGAGCAGGAAGCAAGGCGTGGGGTACGCAGCGATCGGGTAGCTGTGCGGAGGTGATGATGTGATGAGGAGTGAGGTTCGTTCGCGGAGCCAGGGTTCAGATACCGGCGGCACTAAAAACGGTCTCGCTTAACGTATCGAGTAATTTTTGACACTTCGTGCATTGGTGGCTCCGGACAGCTATCTATCTCTATTCCGTGCGTCTACACAGTAAGACGCGTTGCTAATACCTCCGAGGTCCGATCGACCTCAATGACGCGAGACCACTATCTGTGTACCGGCGCTGCTTCATCTGGAGGCACCCCCAGCTCCGCCCTGTCATCCGAATCCATCCGCTCGAAAGCTTTCTTGACTTGGTAGTCCCAGTTACTCCAAGCAACGATCGCCCATTCTGCAAATCCAACAAGATACAGGGCGATGCATTGGCCTACCCATAAGCCGCCAAGACCCCAGCCGTGGAAAGCAAGCCAAATACCGAGTGGCAGAGCTCCGCAGTAGTAGCTGACGATGTTTACCGTTGCTCCAATATGCTGTCGACCCATGCCTCTGAGAGCGCCTCCGCAGCTGCCATTGAGTCCGTCTGCGATTTGGAAAAGCGCAACATAAGGCATTACCTTTGCAGTGAGCTTGACGACCTCCGCATCGTCGTTGAATATCTTGGCGTAAAAGTCTTTGACTCCCATGAGGACAGCCAGTACAAGCGCACCAAGCAGCATGCTAAGTACCGCAGCCACGTTGGCAGCTCTGGCGGCGCCTTTGGCATTGCGTGCGCCGAGGAGGTTTCCGACACGCGACGAGGTAGCGACACCAACTCCGAAAGGAATGGTGTTCATGACTTGGTCCGTGGTCATGATGACACTTTGCGCGGCGAGTGGTATCGTGCCGAGTTTGCCAGCAACAAGCGCAACAATCTCAAACGCCCACCATTCCGTGCCGACATGTATAACTCCGAGTAGAGCAAGCCGTGAGAAGGTCCAAAGGTTTTGTAGACACTTGCGGTCCCAACCGCCCCAGCATTGCCATCCATCGACGAAGCGAGCATATGCGAGCAGCAAAAGAAAGGATGCCCAGTATGCGATGCCGGTAGCGAGCGGAGCGCCGAGGAGGCCCATTTGGAAAGTGTATACGAAGAGGTAGTTCAGACCGGCGCTGAGGGGGGAGGTGATCAATAGGACGTATGTTCCGGGTCTCATGATTTCTAGCCTTGTCAGCATGGGTTTTCGGATTGCGGCAGAACAAAAATCATACCTTGAGCCTGCATATACTTCTTCAACGCCTCAAAGTATACGTATCCAATACCGCCTGGGGCAAGCACCGAGAGAAACCTCGCCGAGTCTCTGGCGATGTAGTCCTCCTGGCCGAGCGCTTTGAAGAGCGGCTCGGAGCAGAACCACACGATAGCAATGGGTATGTAGAACAGTAGAAGAACGACAAATGCGCGCTGGAGGATGATACCCAGGTCATGCCGATTCTTGCTTCCGGTAAAACTGGCAGAAGCCAGCGTGTCGATCGCGGTCGTGCCACCAAGAGCGACGAGCCAACCAGTAGCCATTGCGAACATATACGAGAAGGCAGCGGTAGCCAATGCTTCTGGCGAGAGGCGTCCGACGATGAGGACGGATACTGTTTGCAGTGAATTCTGCAACGCGTATGCTACGACCACGGGCAGTGATCCCTTGAACAGTACCCAGAATTCGTGGAGGATAAGTTGGTACTTGGACGCAGTGCCGTCCTCAAGCTCGTAGGTTTCGCCAGTAGACCATTCCTCATGCTGCGAGTCTGGGAGAAGAGACGTTCGCTCATCAGGCGTGGCGTCATCTTGAGTCGACTTCTTGAGGAAGTTTGGCAACCATGCCCGGTACTTATTGGCTTCGTAGCCCATGACGAGAGATAGATGAAGAAAAACGAAGAAGGTGTGAAAGATGAAGAGAATCCCCCAACAATGAGGTCTGATATGTAAGACAAAGCTCTTCCACTCCAGCCCCGATACCCACAAGATGAACAAGGCAAAAAGCTCGCAAACCTTACATCACGCATTCTCTGCACATCCCAAATCAACAGATAGACCCGGCATGACAGCACCTCTGACAATACAACACCCTCCCAAACCGGTGTAACCACGGGCGTATCTACCCTACCATGAGCAGCAAGACCTGCAGCTGCCAACAAACGAAGCAGCATGCATGCCGCCTCTAGCCCTAATCGACGTGTGCAAAGATCGGGGCGTATCTTCGAGCAGAACAGTGCGCAGCTGTAGCCTTATCGACTTGCATCTGCGCGGTTGTTTGACTAAGGCACTTCGGTAAAACGTTTTACGTGAGGCGAGGACGTACTGGACGCGTTCGGATAAGTGTAGGAGAGTGGAGCTGGGAACAACGTTGATACTACTGTCTGGGCGCAACCGAGCGTCGCTCGTGCAGAGGTGCCGGCCACGCCGGAGCTTCCCCGCAACATTGCGTGCTCGACAGCGAGCGCGCAAGAGAACGCCTCCTGCATGCAGAGGGTCAATGAAGATGAGTGTATGGCTTTTTTGCTCTGAGTTTCGTGCGATGCCCGGAAGAGCCCGGTCGAGGTTTCACTGGGAGCTTAGCGAGTGTGCCGTTCACGAGGTGCAGGTCAAACTTTACTTGATTTGGCCCGTGTCGATGTAGCCCGGCATATCCACCAACAACGACATCAGGTAAGTTAATGAATGGTACCATTCGGAAATCGATGTTGATGTGTCGTTAAATTCGTAATTACCATTAAACAAAATGATTCTCTTTTCCGACCAAGATGGCCACAAACCCGCGAAATCCAGCGCCGAACAACCGAGAAAATGAAAACAGAAGGGGGTATAAAACATTACTAGAATCAGGAACGCATGCCAGTCATCTTAAGCTTCTCCAGCCAGCGCAGCGGCGACAAGGATGTCAATGCCACTCGCATGTGTGCTCGGGTTGCCACTGTCGCTGGGCCCCTGCCACCGATCTATGATAACGCCACCATCAACCCTAGGCTGACTCCTCGCCGCATTCGCATTGCGCATGAAGAATTGTTGGACACCTTCTTGTGGTGCGTTTTCATACAGCGTTGATAGACCGCGAACGTATGCGCCTTTGAACTGCGAGGCGACGGGGTCGAGAGGATAATCAGCAGGCTCGGTGAGGATACCGCTGCCGTCACTGAGTTTAGAAGTCGACGCGGTCGCAAGCTTGTAGGCTTTTTCGATGTAATCGCCGTTGTTTGTTGCGCGAGCTAATTCCGAAAGGCCGGCCAGGACGATGCCTTGATTGTAGGTAAAAGTTGTTCTGCCGTTGTTCTTGCAGCTTGAAGGATCGATGCCGTCGTTTACTAAGCTGTCGGAGTTGATGATACCGGACTTTTCGAACCAGTCCCACTCCATCTCAGCCCAGTTGGTGTAGTCCTCTTTCATCTGGCCCTCAGCCCGGTTTGCCAGATGGGCAGCAACGGATAAGAAGAGTTCGTTTGAGATGGCAGCAATGTAGTCGCGGTCTTTGGACCACCATAGGCCGCCGCCACACCGATTGCCGTCCCAGCCTGTAGTCATGTCGGCGAAGATGTCTCTGGCTGTGTCGAGGTACTTCATGTCTCCAGTGAGATCGTATGAGGCTATCCAGCCCATGGCCCACCACCCCTCGTCATCGTAGAACTTGTTCTTCCACCCATCTGCCCCGTGCTGTTGGGACGATTTGGCGTATGTGGTGGAGACAATGTTAATGGCGTGCTCCTTGAAGTCGGCATCCTGAATACCGAAGCGCGCGACGGTCTCAATAATGTTGCCAGACTGCCACCATAAGTCGTTCCTGGTAGAGATTAGATTTGACCATTGTGAGAGTGGACTGCGACGTACCATAAACCAGTATCAGAGTTGTACCATTTTTCTTGTAGAGTTTTTATCGCTGAGAATGCGTCGTCGGCAAAGTCTGCGTATGTAGGAGTACAGCAAAGGAGAGGTATCAACAGCGCTGTGAGGTACTTCATGGTGGATTACGCAATAGTGACAATAGGGATTACTGAAGTGCTTCGAGCTCAATGAGAGGATGTTGGCTTGATAAGGAAGTGACAACTAACGGAGGCGAACCGCTCTGTGTTTTATGTTTTCCCCAGACGCTGTGACAGTGACCGAAGCGACCTCGACTTCGAAAGTTCAGGCAGATGTATCAAGGAACCGGACTGTAGGCTGGCGTGTGAGTTTGATCCTAGTCACGGCAGTGCAGATAACGCCGAGAACTCCAAGAGAATACTGTACACAAGCAAACCTGTTCGACATATCGAATGTG